TTGTATTTGTGTTTTTGTGTGTGTGTTTGTGTTTGTGTTGGTGTTTGTGGGTGTGTTTGTGTTGGTGTTGGTGTTGGTGTTCGTGTTTGTGTTTGTGTTCGTGTTTGTGTGTGCGTGTTTGAGGGAACCCTGTGTGTAGTTGGTATTTCTGAATGATTCCGCTGTGCCCGTTATGCTGTTTGTCCCTCTCAATCCTGGCCTGATGTTCAGCCTGCAACCGTTCCCGCAACAGCTAGAGCTTTGGGGGGCAGATTCCTCCTGCTGACTTCAGAGCGCCAATCCCATGCTTGCCAAGTTGACCAGGGATTTGGAGAATTGCCATTGCCGTTTTGCAACCCACTGTCCACTGATTTGCCGGAATTTGCAAGTCTTTTTCACTAGCATGCGAGAAACGGAGGTGGTTTTGTGCACCTGTTCTTCAACTTCCCTGTTTGGCACACCCACTTCGAACCTCCAAATCCATCAAAAGCATGCGAGGATTCTCCCTTTAGGCAACTTTTCTTTTTGGGTTGACTTTTGCCTCAACACTTCGTGGCCGGGTTGGCCTTTTTCGCACCCTGCCCTTCTCAGATTCGGACTCTTCCTCCAGGTGGGGGCAATTTTTGTGACAGTCGCAGGTTCATTGAAACCCGTTTGTTCGTGCACCACTCTTTTGTGTTTAGGTTTGGGATCCACTGGAATCAACCTACCTAGAGTCTCCATGAACATTAAAAAATGGGGTCATATCGTAAGATAATGGGGTCATGGACCCATTTTAAGAGACTGGGTGTTGGTGGGGATGTGATTTGTTAACATGAAATTGCTACAAAACACTGTTTTTTAAAGGGTCAGAAGGAGAGGTCTCTATTTTTGTCTTTCTCCGGGTCACCCTTCCCGTTCGCGACACTGGGCCACTGGGCCACTGGGACGGGTCCAAACATTTGGGCCCAGGCAAAGGCAAAGTCAACTTGGAGGACGCGGGCAGCGACTACGTTCAGCGGTGAGAAGTGCCTGATGTTTCTCGGTCTATGTGAGTTTGGTGTATTTCGTGCCGTGGTGTTTGGCTTTGTGCGTATGATCTTCGGGTTCATGTGTCCTTTGATTTGGGTGTGTTGCTTGCTTTAGTTCACTTGTTCTTGATTTCTTTGTTTTGTTGTTTGCTTCTGGTGTCGTCTTAGTGTTTTTTTTTTTTGCTTCGTGCTGGCCATGTTCCCTGTTGCGCGGACTTTGTCCCCAGCAACCCTTGGGAGCTGAGGTTAGCAGTGTGGCCTTTTGGATTAGGATAAACAAAGCCAAACCATAGTTGGCTGTGGCTCACAAAATGGAATCCCGAAACTTGGTAAATTGAAGCAAAGACGAAACCTTGCGGTTTGCCCCAGGTCTTCAATTTGAGCATCCCTTGATCTTCTCGGAAAGTCGGTTCTAAGATTCATCGCAAAGGAGAATTCCCATCCCTTAACTAGGCCCCCGGTAGTGCCCTTTCGCACCCTTTTTTTTGGTTGGGAGGGTTCCCCTACTAAAATATACTACAGAAAAGTTGGTACCCCTATTTCAACCTCTCTACTGGAGGACCTAGTTAAAGTGAACATGAAGGGTTCTCTGCAATACACTTTGTTTTTGGGGTGGGTTCCCTCCAAGCTATTCTAAGGGCAGGTTTGAGGATCCTATTTGGACCCAAAAAAGCTCCGATCCGGAAGGAGCTTTGCTGCCGCCAAACGGCACTCAGATCACTTGCTGGGACACATTCCCCCACTCACCCGCCAGCCCTGAAGCAAGAAGGCGAAGAACGCGTGTTGAACATTTGGAATCTTCAACCTAATCCCCGACTTGAACAAGCAACAAAGCGTGGGCGTGTGTGTTTGCGTGAAATGTTCGGCACACACCCTCCAAGCGCACCTGGAAGTAAAAGGTCAACCTTTGGGGACCTTGACTCAAACTGGGTAAGACAAGGGGAACCCCAGTTCAGATTTGAACCAGCGAGTCTTGCAACCATCCAGCCTCTCAGTTCTCTGGAGTGCAACGCGGATTTGTTTGTCCTTGCCAGGTGAATTGACACCAGCCCCAAGCCATTTTTCCAAAGGTGCGGCGGCCTGGAGAAAAAAGGAACCGCATCCTTTATATATTTTGCAGGGGGGCCCCGTCAAAACTTAGCCGAAGGAAACAACGAACACAAGAAAACACAGCGAAGTCTGACTGTCGGAAAAGCTTCCAGGGCTCTCTGTCCGAGAAACTCAACTCGGCTGAAAACCCCCGGAAGGGGGGAAACTGCCTGAAGGTCCCTTGAGAGATGCGTGTGGCTTCTTGGCTGGCCAGAGCTTGTATACCCAGTTTTCCCGGGGTGGAAGCTGCCTTAGAAGGAATACGGGGGGGGGAAGGGGGGCTGCCAGTCATCTGGAAAGAAAGCAAAGGGAGGCTTACTCAAAAAGTTAGTTGTTTTATGGAGCGGGCGGCAGCGCCTTGCCCGAGCCTTGTGGGATCGAGTTCGCGGACAGGACGCCATCGACAGCCTAGAAAACCTGGGCTGGGACAGGCCCGGGGCCCGACATGGCCGGCGCTGTTCGGCGAGAGAAAGATTCGTTAGAACCGCATGGAACCCAGAGAGACCCTGTAGGAGGAAGTTGTTCAAAGGACTCCATGGCATGAGAAGGCCATTATATACACCGCTGGCCACGCGGCGTTGTGGAAGTTGGCCCATGGAGGGACCTTTCAGGAAGAAATTTGTTCAAAGAACTCCCCGCCAGGGAAGGACATGAGAACACCGCCGGCCACGCGTTGTGAAAGTAGCCCATGGACAACAGAGCACCTGTGATTGGTCGATGCTTGCGTGAAAGTCCATGAAGGTTCTTCACCCTGCTGTATATCCTTTCTAATTTGTGAATGGTAATTGGGTGTACTCAGCACTTGCCAAGTGTGAAGTACCATCCCCATACAACTGATAATTTCCTGGGAAATTGATGTGAACCAAGGGGGCAGCCAGCATGTTTGCCTTCTTGGTCTTCCTTGATGTCCCCTTTGTTGGGATGCTGACGGGGTCAAGACTTCAAGACTGCTGAGCGACGTGCCCCAAGACGCGATATGTCACGCTTGTGGTTCGTAAAATGGAAGGAGCAAGCCTCCACAGATGTTCTGCTTGTGGGGGCAGGGGAAACCGTGCATGGACGATGGAACCAACTTTAGTTGGGCTGTTGGGTTGGGTTGGGCTGGACGCCCTGGGACAACCTGGCTGGGCACCTTGGCACACGAGGAAATCTGCCTTGATCCCCTGGCTCAGGCGGTTCGGGAGGTGCCTGAGACCCGAAACCCACAAATGACACCCACCCGAAACCCACTTACACCCACCCTGAACCTCACCCGCCTTACACCCACCCATCCACTTCCAAACCAACCGGACCTCCTAGCTCAGCCCCGAAAACCGAGAACCGAATCGCCGCAGGCTCGAGCAAGAGCCTTTGATGGTGGCCCTCCGCAGCTGCAAGCGCAAGGGCCAAAAAATGGACTTCGCAGGCCTGGTGGGGAGCTGGGGTAAATGGGTATGTTTTTGTTTTTTTGTTGTTTGTTTGTTTTTTTTGGGGGGGTGGGCAAAGTTGTATTGATGGGCCTGTGTGTGTTTGCGTCTTTTTGAGAGCATCATGTTTTGAGAGTTCTAAAGGGACATTAACTGGACTGTGTGTGTGTGTGTTTTTTTGGTTTGGGGGGGGCCCGTAGAAAATACAACCCCGCCGCAGTCTGGTTGCACATTTTATTCCTGACGCCATGTTCCGAGACGTTTGCGACGTTCTGAAGGTTCCTTTCATAGCGGCCTGTGAAAAGCGGCGCCTCACGGCGCTTTCCGAGAGCACGTGTTAGGCTAGCAGGAAGCGTGACCTTTCACGAAGACCTTTCTTGGCCCCGCACGCCGCTGGATGCGGATTGTCAAACTGTGAGAGGCAGCTTCGCCTGCCAGCTCAATTTTGGCCGATTCTGCATGTACTTGGACAGGTGTACATAGACCTCTCGAGGTGCAGATTTGGGCATATGTGGAGTCAGCTCGGGCACCCGAGCTGGAAAGCCCCAGATTAGCATTGCTACAGCCCCGGTTGATTATGAGCAGCCTCAAGCGAAGCTGGCTGGGGTTTCGCAGGAATTTCAAGGGCGTTTCCTGCACAAGTGCATGTTGTGCCGGTTCAGAAGCGTTCCCATCCGAGTTTGACTATTTCTGCAGCCAATCCAATTGCATCAAACAATTGCCGCTCAGCAAGGCTCAAGCCCAGGCGTGGCCAGTTGTTGTTCTTGGCTGAGCGGCTGAGCCTGAAAAGCTCAGCAAAGTCTTTTTTTGAGCTCACTGATTGCTTCAATCAGCAATCTTGCTCAAATGCACTCATGAAGGCTTACTCTTACAAAGTGTTGCAAATCATGGCTGAGCTTGCGGTTGACCGTGGCCGATAAACCGGTTCGTGGCCCTGATGAGCAGCTTCAGCTGAGGCTGACTTGGGGCCGCGCAGAATTTGCCGCGGCGATTTGTGAGAGAGCATCACAGGTTGCAAAGCCAGCAGCAGGAGGCATGTGACCTTTCACAAAGACATTTCTCGGATTGTCTCGGCCCCACACGGTGAAGCACCGTTGAAAATCCGCGCAAGAATGAGACGGAGAGTGAGCAGTCGGGAACCGTTCGACCAATCAGCTGGGATCCCCAATTGATCGATGGCTTTTGACAGCGGGGAACAATTCGACCAATGGTTCCAGTGGCTGTGAAAATGCCGGGAACCTTGCCGCAGCTGAGGGCAGTATGACACATGGCCTGTGATCCAATCAAACAAGTGCATCAGGTACTCGAGCTGGCAAGCTAGCGCGTGGCCACCTTAGCATGCACGGGGGGTAAGGTGCAGATATTTGGGACCAATGTCAACGCAAAACATGCGATGTGGGGTTCAACCCACATCACATCAGGGGAGTCCAACAACAACAGCCTTGCCAAAATGTTGCTTGCAATCAGTTTATGCCGATGTTCCTCTCATCGCTGCCGAATTTTCCTGACTGACTTGCCCCTTGGACAAGACCGACGTGAGTGGCTGACAGGCCTTCAGTGAAGGCAACTGGGTACTGGCTGCTGTTCAGCTGACGATAAGTGAGGCTTTCACAGGATTGCCGCGGCATTGGCTGCGAGCGTATCGTGGGTCGTAAAGCCTGCAGCAGGCAATCACGTGACCTTCAGCGAAGCCTTTTTTGGGCTCGGGCAGGGCAGCGCTGGCCGGCTCTCAAGATGCAGGGTTGAGCGACTGAGCCTGAAAATCGCAGAGAAGTCTTTGCTGAGCTCTCTGATGGCAATCAACTATCTGGCTCAAATGCACTCATTACGGCTTACTACGGCCCCGGCTGAATTGGCCGAGCCTCCTTCTCGGACACTCTTGAGGTGCAGATTTGGGCGTACTTGCAGTCGGTTTGAGAACCCATGCTGGCAAGCCAGCGTGTGGCTGGATCTGCAGTGACGCTGCCAATTACGGCTTCTGCTGATGAGCAGCCCCAAGCCAAGCTGACTGGGCCCGCAAGGCTTGCGCAGAAATTGCAACGGCGCTCCTCGGCAAAAGTGCGCGTTGCGCCGGTTCAGAAGGCCATCCAACTTGCGCAAGGCTTGGTGCAACACGTGATTGAAGCCTTAGATCCATGCAGTTGACTCTTTGGCGGTGGTTGCACTGCTCAGTGGGTTTCGGATGTGGTTTATCATCTGGTCCAGCCAGCGTGGCCCGAATAGCATTGACTGGGGGCAGGGCTGTTGGACTGCGGCTGGACCCGCAAGGCTTGCGCAGGATTCCCTAGACACTCCAATGTTGGTGCTATTTGCCAACATTCGCGAGCGTTGCCCTGAGAAGGAACATTAAACTTTATAAGGCCAATGTTGCTCTGAGAGGCATACGTCCAACATGTTGGTACAATTCTCAAGCAAGCAACTCACGTTAAATCACGCCAAATCAAGGTAATACATGAATGTATCCCAACTTTGGGATCGGTGCACGCAGCGCTCCGGCAATTCCCGCCATTTCGACGCGTATTTCTTCCATTGCTTTGGAATCCGAATTTCATGAGCATTCGCTGGTACATTTGCAGGCATGCTTTGAGTGATTTTTTGATGATTGCCCTAAACTTAAAAAGGGAAATGTCATTGGTCCGCTTTGATAACAACGCGAAAGCGTAAGTCCCGGCGAAAATCCGCGCGCAAGTGTCGCACTCGTGTTCCGTAGTCAAGAGCAGGCAACCCAATAAATGCCGGGCATTCCAGCCTCGTTGCAGAGATGCTGGCAGAATCCCAGAGGGATGGCCAAATATTGCCGCGCGAGTACATGCGCACGCTTGCAGAGCCTTTCCTTGGATCTTGCCTGAGCGGGCGGCGCATTTGAAACGTTGTGGGGCATTGGCCTGGTGAGCCGGCATTTTGTCGGCGCCTCCGCGTGCTGGAAGCACCTGGGTGGGTTGCCAGGCGCGTTCAGCTGGCAAGAGCAGAGTCCTTGAATGTAATGGATCTCTTGACGCAAAGTAGACGCTGGCAGAGTGTTGCCGGTAGCATCCCAGACGCATTGATTGGTATCTTTACACCATCAGCTCTGCCCCAGCGGCGGCCTCCTTGACGCATCGCGAGGCGGGCGTTGGAGCGCAAAGCACGGGCAGGGTCGCACACGCTCTGCTGACCTCGAACACGCAAGGGGCTGGTAGACCGTCGACCCAGTTGTTTTAGCTTGCGTGTGCATTTAAGTCAATGCGTTGCTATCTCTCGTGCTGCTGTCCTGCGCAGCGGCCGTACGCGCCGCGGCGCAGTGCAGGTGCATACTGCAGTTGGCATTCACGGCCCAGGGTCAGTGACTTGCAGATGGCAGCTTCAGAGAAACAGCGCGCGCGGCGCAATCTTTCTTTCCCAGTCTTTCGAGCTTCTTTTTTGTCATTGGCCACACTTTTTGGGGTCACGGCGAGCAGCTTTGAGACCGAGCGTATGTAGCTTCAGTTAGTGGTTTTCTTAAGATACGATTGAAACCCTTGCTTTTGGCGCAGCTGGGCACACAAGACTCAGAAACCCCTGCCCGCACCTTGAAGGTCGAGATGGTAAACCGGATATTGGAGGGTCCCCCTCAGCCCCAGTCTGGCCAGTCCTCTGCAATCCTTTCCTGTGACCCCTGCAAGACTGCAATCCGAAAGTAAAGGACATTTTGCATGTTTAATGGTCCATGGTACCCAGTCTCGCAGGCGTGAGGTGGGGGAGCGGGGCAGAGTCCTTGAACAATGTTCCAAATAAATTGAGGGTGCTGGCTTTGCGCAGGGCAGTGATTGGCCCACGAAAGGAACTGGCGTATCATTTACATGTGGTTTGTGTTTTTGTTGGGGCTCCCCCGCAATAGTCTGAAACCGCGGGTAAGGGGAACACGCCGTCTGTTGTCGGCGGATATATACGTAGACATGAATATAGAAGTACTTTGATTTTTGCTTCATGTTTTGCACACGGCACCCGCATCTTTGCTTCATGCAATGCACACGGGGCCCGCATCTTGGTTCGCAAGCAAAATCACTTGTCCGACCTCCGACACTTCATCGCCATGCTGCCACCAAAGTCGCATGACAATTCGCTCACAAGTCGCCAGAACCTAAGGCTCAGGAGCAGGCGTCAGGCCTTTTGCTGAACCAGCTGGCAGCTGAAATCATAGCTTGCAATTTGCCAGGGACGCGGACTTCAATGGAACAAGATGTGGCTGCCGCACCTGAAGGAGAAGCGCTGTCCCACCAGGGGCAATCCAAGAACGAGTGCCGACTGCGGCGGGAACTTGGCGCCGCTGAGGCACATCCGATGATTCAATGAATGAATGGTTCACACACACACACACACCGTGAATCAAGACGACAATTTAGAAGTAAGCATTTTTTGCCAGGCATTGCCGAAAGCTGGGGCACGCACAGGCTGATGCAAATCACGCCTCTCCAGCGTTGCAGCAAGGCCGCAGGGCAGATTGAGCCATTTGAGACCCATGTCGACGCAAAACATGCGATGTGGGGTTCAACCCACATAGCAGGGGAGTCCAACAACAGCCTTGCCAAAAGCGATTGTCCCCCTTGTTGCTTGCAATCAGTTTATGCCGATGTTCCTCTCTAATACCCGATTTTTTGGGCTGATTTGTCCCTCCAAAGGGACAAGGCTTATGTGAGTGGCTGACAGGCCTTCACTGAAGCCAACTGATTACTGGCTGCCAATGCCAGGCGTGGCTGAGGGGCTTCAGCATTATGCAGATTGCGCACGCAAGGTTTGCCCGCCTTCCCATCCAAGCTTGGGATATTTGTACCATCGGTTCAATCGCATCAGCGCCCATGGTAAAAAGGCAACGGGGGACGAAGGGTTCTGAATGCAGGGAGTACCATGGGGCACGACACTAGAAACAAACAACACCCTGATCCGCAGTGAACACTTTTCCAGGCTGTGGCAGCTTTCCTGGCTGCCTTTTGAGGTGCGTATGTCGGCTGCAACGCTTACCGCCTTTCATCCAGTGGACGGG